AACAGTCAATTACATTTCAAAGAGATTAAAATAATAAGAAAAATATCTTTTAATATATTCATGTAGTTGCCACTTGGGATGCTCTTCATTCCTTTGTATACAGACATATTTCCAAAGGATCCACTTTTTAAATTTCCTGTAGTGTAGACTTGCTGGTATTAAGTTCTTTCAGTTTTTGTATGTCTAAAAAGTTTTTATCCACCTGTTTTGAAAGGTATTTTTGCTGTTTAGAATTTTAGGTTACCAGTTGCTTCAATGAGTTCTCATACTGTTTCTGATGAACAATCTGTTGTAATCTTAAATTTGTTCCTCTATACATATAGGTAGAAACTCTAGTGGTGCTGCAGTTAAGGCACTGGGCTGCTAACCAGGTCAGGGGTTCAAACCCACCAGCTGTCCACAGGAGAAAGATGAGGCATTTGGCAGTCTGCTTCTATAAATGTTTATAGCCTTGGAAACTTATGGGAGTCACTATGAGAAAAAAAAAAAAAAAAAAAACCTCACTGCCATCGAGTCTAATCTGACTCATGGCGACCCCTCTGTGTGTTTCTGAGACAGTATCTCCACAGAAGCAGATTGCCCAGTCTTCCTTCTGAGGAGTGGCTGGTGGGTTTGAACCTCCAGCCTTCTGCCTTCTGGTTAGCAGTCAAATGCCTTAGGCATTATGCCACCAGAAGGAGTCACTATGAGTCGGAATCAACTCAATGGCAGTAGGTTTATACATATATACATGAGTTTTTTTTCTCTCTGGCTGCTTTAGAACTATTTTCTTTTTAGTGCTGCCTTTAAATAATTTGATTATGCTGCACCTTGGTACAGTCTTTGTGTTTCTTGTGCTTAAAGTTCATTGATCTTTTGGTTCCGTGGGTTTAGTTTTTATCAAATTTTGGGAAATTTTTTGCCATTATTTAAAAATTTAAAAAAAAAAAAAAACCACCCTTCTTATTCAGAAACTTGTTAGATATATTTTAGGGTTTCTGAAATGTCCCATGGCTCACAGTTACTCTGTTCACTTTTTCTTTTCTGGTATTCCCATTACATGTCATATGTTTTACAACTCTCCCACAGTTCTTGGATATTCTGTTCCATGTATTTAACTCCTTTTTCTCTCAGCATTTCAGTCTCAGAAGTTTGTAGTGGCATAGCTTCAACTCACCAATTCTTTCCTCAGCTTTCACAGAGAGCCCATCAAAAGCATTCTCATATCCATTACAGTGCTTGTCCTTTCTAGCATTTTTTCTTGACTTTTTCCTTAAAAGTTTTAATTTTTTTCTTACATTACCTATTTTGCATATTGTCCACTTTTTCCATTACCCCCCCTTAGCATATTACTCAGTTATTTTAAATCTCTGATCTGTTAACTGCCTCCAGACTGTTTTTTCTTGCCTTTCAGCATGCTTCGTAATTCTCACTGAAAGCTGCACATGATGCACAGAGTAAAAGGAAATGAGGTAAGCATGTCTTTATTGTGAGGACTTATGTTTATCAGGCTAGGAGTTTACTGTTTACTGTTTGTTGGAGCGTAGTTATTTGGAGCTTTAATTTCCTCTCGTGTCCTTGTTTTAGTTACTCCTGCTGTCTCTGAGTTTTCTTAGAAATTCCTTAAATACAGTCTGTTTCTTATAGCTCTTTCAGCAAATTCCTGTTATTATACAGGAACCATGTTGATATGGTACGGTGGGGGAGGTAAATGTTCTATGAACCTACGATTAGGACTCAGACCTTTAGTGGGCCTGGACTCATTGGCTGTGGCTTTTTCAGCTCCCTCCCACCTCCCTGGGTGAGGCCTGAAGGCTAGAGGGGGTCGGAGTCAGGTATTTCCTTCCTTCCCATCACTCAGGCTCTGGTAGCCTCCCCCGAGGACAATAGAACACTCTGGCATATTTCAAATCTCTGGCATATTTCAAATCTCTGGGCCTATTTCAAATCATGAAAGTGTGGGGGTCCCTTAAGGCTAGGTCCCTAGGAGTTTTTAACTCTCAAGCTAGTTGACATTTAGCCTTTAGTAGTTCATTAATTACATTTTACTTTTTACTACCATTTCCCAGCTCCAGTGGCTTATGCTCTCAGCAAACTGATTCTCTGTATTGCTGTCCCCCCATTTATTGGGGGGGAGGGGGGCCAGCAGGGGACGTGGGGGGAGGCAGTTTGTCCAGTTCTCTGATGAATCTACTAAGAGTTGATTTGCATTTTGTTCAGCTCTTTTTTTCTTATGAGGAGTGATGACCTTCTAGCTCTTCACGTCAGAGCAGAAACTCTGTTCTTCCACATCTCTACTTAACTTTCTGAATGTAACAGTCTCATCTGGTGAATCTAGTATCTGTGACAGTTGTGTTGGTTTTGACTGACTGATTTTCTTCCTCATTATGTGTCCTATTTTCCTACATTCATAACTTTTGAATAGATTTGACACTTTGGAATTTACTTACTGAGCACTGGATATTTATACAGTTCTGTAAGTATTCTTGAGCTTTATTCTGAGATATAGTTAAATTATTTGAAAATAGCTGGGCAAGACATTTCTGAGTACTGTATCTAAGCCCCACAGAGTACGAGGTTTTTGTGTGGCTGGGGAGAACAGATACTTTTCCTGACCCTATGTGAGCATCCAACACTGCCCCCTCTAACCCTCTCAGGTGGTCCTTTGCCTGGGCTGTTTCTCCACATGGATATGCTGGTCTTTATTTATTAAATACTCCATGACTATCTTCCACAAAACTCTGGAATTCACTTTCTAGGCTCTCTTCCCCTCTGGTACTCTGTCCTGTAAACTTAGTCGCCTTGGTCTCCCTGGACAAAACAACTAATAATAAATGATGGAGGGGTACTACTGAGAAGACTCTGCCAAAGAGATGACACCTGAGTGAGAGATCACTGAGAAGAAGAGAACTTCATTTATGAAACTTAGTATGTACTTTATGCCAGTCCCTGTGCTGGAAACAGTACTGAAAAGTAAATATAACATAGTACCTACTTTCAAGAAGCTCATGATCTAATGAAGAAGGGAAATACAATGTGGTAACTGCACTTACAGTGTCCAGAGGATTATGGGCACACAGAAAGGAAAAACCACCTAGATTGGGAAAAAGGAAACTTGATAGAAAAAAAGAGGGGAGGACAAATATGTGTCAACTTGGCTAGGTCACGATTCTCAATATTATGTAATTATCTTCCACTTCATGCTTTATGTATTGTAATTCTTAACCTCTAGAATGTTAATGAGGCAGGATATACAATCTACAGGATTAGGTTGTATTTTGAGTCAATCTCTTTTGAGATATAAAAGAGATTAAATAAGTCGGCAGAGGTAGAGGGACCTCATTACCACCAAAAAAAGAGAAGAGCCTAGAGCAGAGTGCATCATTTGGACCTAGGGTTCTTGCACTGAGAAGCTCCTAGATCAAGGGATGCCAAGACACATTGAGATCTCCAAGGAACACTGGGCCCACAGATGTTGAAAGGAGATAAGAACTTCCCCCAAAGCCAATAAGAGAAGGCCTTCCCCTAGAGCTGGTACCCTAAATTCAGACTTCTAGCTTCCTACACTGAGAGAAAATAAGTTTCTGTTTGTTAAAGCCATCCACTTGTTGTATTTCTATTATAGCAGCAAACTAAGACAGAAGTTATAAGAAGTCTTTTAAGAATTTTAAGGGGGTGGGGGTGGGTAACCTAATCAAATTTGTAGTCATTAGTAGAGACAGATTTGTGGTGCTAAGACTTAGAGAAGGCATTTTACATAAACAGTAGTCTAGAAATAAGATACCAAATGCCTGGACTAGAGCAGTGGTATAAGGGTGGAGAGGAGGTAACAACTATCTTTGGGATGCCAATTTTTTCCTCCAATTATTTTCTTTCCATTTGCAACCCTTCTTATACTCCCTTTCTCTTGCCTCCCACACTAATTCATTATCCAGTCATAGTTGGTTGAACTCTAAGTGAAACACAAACCTCAAAGGAACCACATCATATGATGAACTAAGCCAATCAATTCTTTGATAGAATAGGAACTAAGAGATAAGAACAGTAATTGTGAAGCCTGAATAGAGAGCTGGAGGCAGGGTAATCATTTTTTTTTCATTTGCTGTGAAAATTTCCATGAAAACAGACTTTGTTTTGATTACTGCAGTGTCTTCAATACCCAGAACACTCATCGCTTGGACATAACTTTTCTCCACGTTTTAATCCTTTTGCCCAGTGGCCAGTTGTGGTAGTTAAGGTTATGTGTCAACTTGGCTGGGCCTGCTTTTGAGTATGTGGGCATCTGGATATAGTTATTCCCTACAGTAAGATTGGTAATTAACTCCATGGAGGAATCTACTGGAATAGATGAGTAGATGCCTCAGGGATGTTGTCTGTTTCCAGTATATAAGGAGTTGTTTTGAGAAAGGTCTCTGTAGCTTTTTGGCATGCTTGGACCCTGCATGTAGCTGAGCCTTCATTCAGCAGCCTGCCATGCCCTGCCAATCTTGGGATGTTTTCTGGACTTGAACTAGTGGCCTACTGTGTTGTTTGATAATCTTAGGACTATGCCTTTTTGCTTGACAACCTTGCATTTGCCGGCCTCAGCAGCTAGCAGCTGCCTGGGTTAAGAAAAGCCACCAGCTTCAGTGGGCCAGGAGCAAGAGGCAGAGCTGAAGCCCAAGGTTGAAGGACTTTCACCTAGCCCCTAGAGCCTGGCACTTTGAACTTGGACTTAAAGCCTTCAAAACTCTAAGAGAATAAAACTCTCTTTGTTAAAGCCACCCATTCGTGGCATTTTCTGTTAGAGTGACAACAGAGAACCAAAACACCAGTAGTAGCCAGCAGAGACTTGAATGTAGTAGGATATTATTAGGGGAAAGAGGGTAGCTGCACTAGGAGGTATACAAACAGTGATTCTCTGGCTGATGGTATCAACTTTTTCATCAAATAGTTTTGCACAGCTGTAAATCCTTCACCTCAAAACATGTAAAAATGTAAGAGTAGAGCACAGAATTGAGTTAATTTTGTTGAAAACTTACGGTAAGAGCCATCTGGACTCATCTCATCACTTATTACCAGGCAGGTGATCTGGGAATAAGGTGAAGGATTGTTTCGATTATAGGGACTAATAATCATTCCGATGAACTTTGCACCTCCTCTGGAGAAGTAGCTCTATAGAAAAGTGTAATTAGTTTTAATTATATACATTTAAAAGTTAATATTTATCCAAACCAACATTTTTAATATCCAGTAGGGGAAAAAGGTACACTAACAACTTCATATCCTCACAGCAACTAAATGTCTTATATATTCATTCCACATTCTAGAATTTCCAGACCAAACTGTGTTCAACTCAATTTGAAACGATCCTCACAAGAAAAATCACCTGGCCTGCAAAATTTACATTCCTTTCCCATGAACATATTCACTACACTTCTGTTGAATTCTTCATCAATATGGTTGTTATTTATAAACAGATGCCTACAGCAACAACATTCACGTATCAAACATAAAATTTCAGAAGAAAATAAAACTTATTTAGAGATGCAAAATATATTGCTTACTATTAGTTCCATTAGGTCCAGCTCCTGTCACTAATTGTTCCTATTCACTTTTAAAAACTCTGGGAGTACTTATCACTGTTATTTTCATGGCCTGTCTGTAGTAAACAAAATAGCTGATTTTTCAAATGTTTACATAAACATGTATTATTTTTACAAACAGGAAAAAACTCTTAACTTAAAACTATGAAGAATTAGAAATGATCTATTTTGTTACAAACATAAAAAACTGTAGTATACTTAATAGAAAGCAACAGGGGAGGAAGAACAATGTAATCACAGAATATAGATATACACTACATATATATATATATATATATATATCTGGTAGCTCTGGTAGCATAGTGCCTAAGGCATGTGACTGCTAACCAGAAGGCTGGCGGTTCAAACCCACCAGCCACTCCTCGGAAGGAAGGTTGGGCAATCTACTTCCATAGTGATACTCCCTTGGAAACCCAAGGAGGGGTCGCTATGAGTCGGGTCTGACTTGACGGCACATTACAACAACAATAACAACATATATATATATAAACATACCTGGTATTTGGCTTGGGTGTCAATGTCTCGTAATGAAGGATTAGGATCAAAGGCAGGATGAGAATGATACCATCCAATAACGCTATAGCCTCTGACAGCCAAGGTTTCTGAGGCCTGTGTTTGTGACACAGGATCCATCTCACACTGCAGTCCTGTACTGAGACTATTGCATGGTTCTGCAGCACAGACCTGTAATGGTTTAATCCTCATACGATTATACTGAAATTCTGTTAACTATATTCCTTTAACGGTTTTAGCCATTTTAAAAAAGATACATACAGTAACTTTTCAGAGCCAAGCCTTTTATCTGACTATATTACTGGCAGTCTATAATTTACGAATGTATTATAGATCAAAATTATGAGTGTAGTCTAGAAACTCAGAATGTATTCTTCAAACAAGGTAATAACAGTATTTCATTTTCCAGCTTAGTCCATATAATACTTGTACAAAAGTATTCTTTCATCTACTCCTATTATTTTATACCTGATGCATTCCAAGTTTCAACTCTGTGTTAGTACAATTTCCTGGCCTCTTAGGAGCTGTAGTTTCTTATTGGTACAAATAACGAGTAACCAAAACCTGGCTATGTTCTCTCTTTCTTGATGGTAAAAGGCAACAGGCTCTCAATATATGGCATATTGTTACTTCTGGGAACATACAACTTTCTACATTTGCATATTCTCATTTTTATCATAGATAAAGTCTGTATTTTATTTCCTGAAGTTTACAAAAATATTTGGCATGGCAACAGGACTAAACAATAATGTAAAAAATTTTAAAACGAAGAGAACTTACTTCAACTATCTTATCAACTTCTGAGTATCTTCCTCCTAATAGACCAATCACTTCTGCCATAGAAACATGAGCATGCTAAATGAAATAAAAGACAGTCTTAGCCCAAAGGCACAAACCCATCCAACAAAGAATTAGAACAAAACTCACTTATCACAGGAAAGTCATTTACAAGTATGGCGATTATGCTTTTCTAAATGAAAGAGCATAGAAGAGAAATTAGATGCTAGGCTAGCTGCACAGAGGCTCAGGTTTTGGTCTCTCTTTACTGCTGATTGAGAAGCTTTGAACAAAACATTTACATACTTCAAGACTCCACTTTTTCACTTAGAAAATGAATATACCACTGCTTTCCCTCCTCAGGAAAGATATTACAAGGATAAAAAGTCAAAATCATTGTGGACCTTATAGAAAAACACCATACACAAACACACAACCGTTGGAGGTATCAGTAGATTGCAAACAAGGAGCCTCCGAATTACAGGAGTTGTGCTTTGCTGCAGTTATCTAAAAGGCAGCAGACAAGGGGTACCAGGAGATGGAAACAGGGTTAATGATGATAAACAGTCTGCAAAACTCACATTAATTTATTTTTTTCTAAAATATGGAAACATGCAATTGTTTGGCTTTTCTCCAAAAGAAAAGACTTATTTTTAGATTCCTTGTAAAAGAGGATAGTTAAGATCCAAAATACACGTCTTCCATATCTCTCTTATGCCTGCAATAAAAATACACAAGAATAGAAATCAGAATAGCTAAATAAACACAATAGATTATCCTTACCAAATCCATTATTAAAAGTGCTTCTGAAGCCACTTTCACCTGAAATGGCTCCTGAAATATAAAGAAAAAAAAAAATGGGGGGGCATAAAAATACAGATTTTGTTCTCCTAAACTGGAATGTCCTCCTTTTTCTCCTTTACCTATCCTACCAAGTCCTCATTTCAGTTAAAGTTCAGTTCAAACCAGACTTCTACTTTTCAAAACCCCATCATGAAGAAATTCTGCTCTCATTTCCCATCTGCATAATTAATCTGACCTTTAACATAACCTTGCCTTCACATACAAGTCCCTCATTTTTCCAAATATCGTATTTTTTGCAAATAACGCACCAACACATAAACCGTTGGGCATAGTGTGCTTATGAAAATAGCCAAGGGGGGAGGGAGTTGCACGGTTGGCAAAAAACATAACGGGGACGTTATTTGCTAAAAATAAGGTAGACTGCAAATCCTTTAAGAGCAGGAATTACATTTGAAACATTTTTATTTCCACACTGATACAGTGCCTTGCATACATAGAAAAAGAGTATTTCGTGTCTGACAGGGAAGCATCATGGTTACTCATAAAAAGTACCTGCTTTTCCTCACTGAAAAAATGACAAGGTATCAGTTGGAAAGGATCAAATGAGCTGAAAGAGAAAAAAATATTCATTTAAAATATAATTTTAAAAACAAAACTTGAAAAATAACTTTATTCTTATTAAATAAATTCTAAAAACTTAAAAATGTGTATCAATAATCTAAACCCAAATTCTATCTGAATGAGAAAAACAGTAAACTAAGATTTCTTAGGGCACTTCATACAACCTTTGTGGAAGAAGCATTGTTTTTTTGAACTTGACAAAGAAATGGGGAGTGGTAAACACATTGGGAAAAAGTAAATTATCTTGTCTTAATTTCTTTTAAAATCCAGAGGAAAAAAAAAACAGTACAGTCAGACAGGTATCATACAGTGAAAGCAGATTTCATGAAGTTCAAAGAAAATGTTACTGATTCCCTGACATGAGACCTGAAAGACATGATGGAAATTTCTCAAAAATACTTCTGCTAGTACAATAATATGCTCAGCACATAATAGGGATTCAAAGTATTTGTTGAATGAATGAATGACAATTCTGATAAAGGATGTATAGAGGGAGTTCTACAATAAATTTATACTTTAAAATGAAAAAGTAAAAAAGATGGACAGAAGCACATAAGCAAGGTTAGATATAAAAGCATATATAAATCTGAGGTATGTTAGAAAGTGTTCGCCCAGTAGAGAACTGAGGTTTGAGAAAAAAGCTAATGAAAAAAGGAATTTTTAGGCTATGTTCAGAGAAAAAAAAGAGGAGAAAAATAAGGATTATGCTCATGTTAACATAACCAGAAATGAGCAGGACTATTTAGTTCCCATTCTACCAAGGAGGCCTTTAGCAACAAATGAATCCTTTGTTCTGCTTGATACCGTGTCCCAAGTGTGCAGAACAGTGCCTGACACATAGCAGGCACTCAAAAATATGTGTTGAGTGAAGATCTTCAAATTTGAAAATGGTTATTCAACACGAATAAAAGGAAACTAAAGGTCAAGACAGAGAAGAAAATAGAGAACAGTATCCCAGAGCCCTGCAGAACCATGATGTGGAATGACTGCCAATGTTTTCTGAGGTGCTGCAGAGGAGGGGAAAGGTATTTTAGGAGTAGGGACAGGAAACTATTGGGCTGATTTTCAAAACACAGATTTTAGAAACAGAACAATTAGATGCTGAACACGGCAGGACTCCAGGAAAGACTATAAACAGCTGATTTCTGAGCCTTTACCCTGTGAAGTGATTATTAAGAACAAGAACGGATTTATGAAAATGTAAATCTGGTAAGTAAATCTAAATTTCATTTTTTATATGAATAAACTTCTAGAAAACTAGCAGAGTAGCATAAAGAATCAAAAATACTTTATCTGAATTTAAGCTTGATATTTGCTATGATTATCCTTAGGCATAAAATAAAGAAATGGGTTAACTGTGGAAGTTTATCACTGACTGAACGAAGACATCCGAGGTTTACACTAATTCCAGGTAGCCATTTTAATCAGTGATTAACAACCTTATATTTAAATTGAGAAAATCAACTGTCTAAATACTGGATGAAGAGTCCTGGTTTATGTTTCGTATTTTTTGCATAGATTGGCTCATTTAATTTATTCTTAAAACTGTTAAGTTTTTATTTTTATTTTATTTTAGAGACGTAATATACAGTGCAATGGTCAGAAATATAGATTCTTAAGATTTAGTTGTAGCTCCACCACTAACTAGCATGAGCAGTTAGTGCTTTCTACTTTCCTCATATTAAAATGAGAGTATTAATATTAACTACCTCAGAGGGTTGTCAGAGGATTAAATCAGTTAATATATGTGACAGTTTTAGCTATTATATTTTTTATTTTATGAGTACTCAAGGCTTATAAAGGCTTCAAGCAACGTAACCAAAGGCATACAATTGGTGTTAGGGTTTTTCTATCGAAAATAAAAAAGATACTCTAGAATATCTTATTCTAAAAGAGATACTAACTATAGTATCTATAACTATAGTCAATTTAATGTGGCCTCTGCAAAAAGTGAGGTCTAGAAAATCAAGGCATTTGAAAAAAATGGACCTGTATATGTTCAGTTTAAGTAAGAGTATTTCAGAGGAGTTATCTTCAAGTACCTGAAAAAAATAATGTATAAAAAAATAAACTTGTTACAAATTATAAAATTTCATTTATTATAAAAAAAATCCTATTAAGAATCAGCACCATCTAAAGACAGAACCTGTTGTTTAATGAGGTTGCCAGTCCATAATGCCTAAAGACCCTGCCATAAACAAGGCCCCTTTACACACTGGATACTATACGTTCACCCAAACCTGAAAAAATTTACAAGTTTCGTTGATGATCAGTGAAATTAAAGAATTCAAAAACGTTAGCAGAATTTTTTCAACTTAATATTAACAATGTAATATAGCTAGTTTGGACAGTTTTCTCATACATTTTAAAATCATTTTTGATAAGTTAAGGGAAAAAAAAAATCACATAACACTGTACCTTTTGGTTGACCTGGGAGCTTTTGCAGATTTAAAAGGTTTACAATTTTCTTCTTCTCTTCTTCTTGCCAACTCTTCAGCAGAGAGATGCTAAAACATAAAACACCAGTTCATCAAAGAGTCCATCAACCCACAGAGGTGGAATTAATAAAAAATACTCCTTTAAAATGAAACTTAAGGGCATTTGAGAACAAGACAGACTAAATTGATACATATGCTTCTCATGCTTACTAACAAATTGCTGGATAATATATTTTTTAAAAATATTTCAAAAACCATAGCCAGACCAAATTTACAATTCACTCCTTCTCTTGTTTTGACCCATTTCAATTAATAGTACTGATCCACCAGGTTAAAAACCTCAGAATCATCGGAGTCCTTCCTCTTTCTTTCTTACTTACTTCCTATATCTTGTCACCAAGTTCTACTGCATTGACTTTTTCTACACAACCAAGAGACAGTACAACAAAATGATGAAGAATAGACTCTAGAGCTAGCATGCCTGGTTCTGCTGCTTACTAGGTAGGCAAGTTACTGAAGATTTTCTGTGCTTCAGTTTCCTTATCTTTTAAATAGGCACAATAACAGTAATATTAACATGTTACACTGTTATTGTGAAGATAAAATGAATTAATGTTTGCAAAATACTGACAGCAGTCACTGTCATATAGTAAATCCTATATAAATATCTATTCATTCCATTCTACTACCAAACTTAAATTCTAGCCCAAATGAACTATTCACCTTTTCTAGAATATGTCTAATATTATCTCATGTTAGCAACTTGGCTTATGCTGCTCCATAACACTTCAATATTATAAATTCAGTTTTGTTTAACACTTAAAACAATATTTTAATTTGTATGTCAGAACATGACTCAACTTCCAGTTGGTATGCCTGATTTCATTTTAATAAACTTATTGAGTCATGTTCTGACATACAAATTAAAATACTGTTTTAATTTGTATGTCAGATGTTCTTAATGTAGACACACAAACATGGAAACAGAGAACCACATTATTAAAAAATTGTCAAGTTTCTAGTTAACTGCACCACTAATGCCTTCAAAATTTGTTGTTTACCAGTGAGTTCTGCACAAATGAACATGGAATGAAAACAGACAGACATATACACACATACTTATGAACTAAATGCTTATAAAAGATATTAAAACATACACATACATTATTGAAAAAACAACTTTCATCGATGAGCTATTTCAAAAGGTCAAAGTTACCTCAAATGTTTGTCCTTCTAAATCCTTTGCATCACACCAGTTTCCCCATGGATCTCGGACCCTTCGTCTTCTTGTGCGCTGTGATTTGATTAAAATAAAGCAAAAGGTAACAATATTAACTTGCAGGAATCACAGCATGTAATTCTACAAAACCAAAATGATACCTATCTAAAATTTAATTAATTTTTCCACTTAAAAGATAGATGGCCCTTGAGACCAGAAGAACTAGATGATGGTACCTGGCTACCAATGCCAACCACTCAAGAAAGGATCCTGGAGATCCTGGATAGAGTGGGAGGGAACAAAATCCAAAAACTCAGTAATGACCAGAATTACTGGTCAGATGAAATCTGGTGAGACTCCCAATACTATGGCCCTGGAATACATTCTGCACCTGGAATAAAACTCACCTCCCCCAGGGGCTGGCTCTCAGCCCAATAGTTAATAAGATGTACACGCAGACCACTCAGCCCAGGATGACGCACCCACATACTCTACGGCAATACATCCCTTAAAGCAACAGACCATGGGACACCAAAGGACCAACATTCAAATTGAGGCATTGCAAGACAAACAGGAGTGCATAAATATGAGAGGCACAGGGTGAGGGTTATAAGGGAGGGAGGGGAGGAGACTGGGTTAGGGATGGACATAGTAAACGGGAAGTGAAACTAAATGTACACATAACATCGAACGTAAAACAAGCTCTTAAAAAAAAAGATCATAATCTTTGATTAGCAATGAGTAATTTTTTTTATTAATTTTTTATTCAATAATACTTGGTTTAGAAGTTTATTAGTGATAATTTTCTGTATGTTACTTGGATTTCTTCTTTAATTTTCATTTCCTTTCACCATTTGAAAGTAAAACACTATTATGAAAAATATTTTTAAGATCAAAAAGAACCACCAAGAAAATAACTTCCCTTTCTACTACTTGTGGTAGAAAATATGCAAGAACATGTAGCAAAAACTATGATACTGCAAGGTAGAAGCAATATTAGACTGAGATTATATCTCAGTCTTAGAAAGGAAAAGAATGCCTAGTTAATAGCAATAGTGAAAAACTGTCGTTGTTGTTAGGTGCCGTCAAGTAGTCTCTGACTCATAGCAACCCTACGCACAGCAGAACGAAACACCGCCTGGTCTCGTGCCAGCTCCACAATCCTTGCTATACTTGAGCCCACTGCCGCAGCATCCATCTTGTTGAGGGCCTTCCCCTCTTTCGTCGACCCTCCACCTTACCAAGCATGACATCCTTCTCCAAGGAATGGTCCCTTCTGACATGACCAAACTAGGTGAGATGAAGTCTGGCCATTCTCACTTCCAAGGAGCATTCAGCTGCACTTCCTCCAGGACAGATTTGTTAGATCTTTTAGCAGTTCATGGTATTTTCAGCATTCTCCACCAGCACCACAACTTAAAAGCATTAATTCTTCTTCTGTCTTCCTTATTCATTGTCCAGCTTTCACATGCATATGAGGTGAATGAAAATACCATGACTTGTGTCAGGTGCACCTTAGTCCTCAAGGAGACATCTTTTTTCTTCAGCATTTGAAAGAAGTCCTTTGCAGCACATCTGCCCAGTGCTATACATTGTCTGATGGCCTGACTGCTGCTTCCACTGGCATCGATTGTAGAACCAAGCAATGTAAGTCTTTGACAACTTCAATCTTTTCTCCATTTATCACGAAGCTTATAGGTCCAGTGGTGAGGATTTTTGTTTTGTTTATATTGAGATGTAATCCATACTGCAGACTGTAGTCTTCAATCTTTATCAGTAAGTGCTTCAAGTCATCCTCACTTCCAGCAACCAAAGTTGTGTTGTCAGCCTATTGCAACTTGTTAATGATTCTTCCTCTCCAATCCTGTAGCCACGTACTTCATATAGTCCAGCTTCTCAGATTATATGCTCAGCATATAGACTGAATAAGCATGGTAAAAGGATACAATGCTGACACACTCCCTTCTTGATTTTAAACCATACAAGTGTCCCCTTGTTCTGTTCAAATGACAGCTTCCTGTCATTTGTAAGGTTCCTCATGAGTACGATTAAGTATTCTGGAATTCCCATTCTTCTCAATGTTATCCATAATTTGTTATGATCCACACAATCAAATGCTTTTACATAGTCAATAAAACACAAGTCAACATCTTTCTGGTACTCTTTCCTGTCAGTCAACAGCCAACTGACATCAGCAATGATACCCCTCATTCCATATCCTCTTCTGAATCCAGCTTGCACTTCTGAAGTTCTCTGTCAATATACTGCTGCAACCGTTTTTTAATTATCTTCATCTTCAGTAAGATTTTACTTGCATGTGATATTAATGATATTTTTTGATAATTCCTACATTCTGTGGGATCACCTTTCTTTGGAATGGGCACAAATCTGGATCTCGTCCAGTCAATTGGCCAGGTAGCTTTCTCCCAAAACTCTTGGCATAGCCAAGTGAGTGCTTCCAGCTGGCATCCATTTGTTGAAACATCTCATTGGATATTCCATCAATTCCTGGAGCCTTGTTCGTCACCAATTCCTTTAGTACAACTTCGACTTCTTCCTTCAATATCATTAGTTCTTCAACATATGCCACCTCCTGAAATGGATGAAGATTGACCAGTCCTTTAGGTACAGTGACTCCATATATTCCTTCTATCTTCTTTTATGTTCCCTGCATCATTCAATATTTTGCCCATAGAATCTTTCAATATTGCAACTCGAGGCTTAAATTTTTTCCTCAGTTCTTTCAGCTTGAGAAATGCCGAGCATGTTCCTCCTTTTTGGTTTTCTCACTCCAGGTCTTTACACATTTCATTATAGTAATTGGCTCTGTCTGCTTGAGCTGCTCTTTGGTGTCATCCCACAATTCTTCTGGTTTTTGGTTACTGGTGTTCAATGCATCAAATCTATTCTTTAGATGGTCTCTAAATTCAGGAGGGATATATTCAAGGTCATATTTTGGCCCTTGTGGACTTCTTTTAATTGTCTTCAAGTTGAACTTGCATATGAGCAGTTGATAGTCTATTGCACAATCAGCTCCTGGCCTTGTTTTGGCTGAAGATGTTGAGCTTTTCTACTGCCTCTTGCCACAAATGTGGTCAATCTGATTCCTGTGTACTCCATCTGGTGAAGTCCCTGTTATAGCCGTCATTTGTGTTGTTGAAAAAGGTACTTGCAAGAATAAGTCGTTGGTTTTGCAAAATTCTATGTGATCTCTAGTGCAAATACTAATACTCAGTTTACTGATGTACTAAGGCCAGCCCTCAAGATGGATCAACTGCCAGAGGACAATGACTGGCATTATCCACAGTGAACGTACAAAAATATCCTTTCTTAAGAAAACAAACGTATATGGAAGTGGTTTATAACCTAAATACTTTGAGAGAAACATCTACTCTATCACCTATTGCTTTTTCCATCTATCTCACTCTACTTAATTAGTAAAACCAGTAGATCATATCATGATTCCGCCTTGCAAGAAGTTTGTTTTGGATCATTAATTTTTTTAAATAACATTAAAAAATTTTAAAATACTGCAGAACCCACTGCTTCTAAGAATTAAAAGATAAAGTATTTTAGGTAACTATTCTACAAAGCTGATTCTTAAGGTAATTAAAAACAAAAGAAAATAGAAAAAGAGCTTAACTGTATTGTTTTAAAAGATATATTAGATTTATAAATTAAAAACAAATAGCCTAAGACCACTTGGTGGGGAGTGCAGGGTAGGGAGGGGAACACCTACCTCTGTATAAAGTTTGTCACTGAGTTTTGAGGCTTTTGCTGGGTTGTTTTTGCCTCATTAACCAACATGAAAATGAATGGAAGCCAGAAAAGTGAATGGCTAAGGTGAAATACAAGAGCAAACATGTTCTTCTACTAACTGGCTATCTACTTAACAGTTAAAGAGAAGTAGGCATGCCTTAATTTACAGAGTAAGGAGCAATTTGGAGAGATTATTTAAATAATAAGATGACGGCTTACCATAGACTGCAGACGCTGGGCAAGTTGGTATGCTTCTACCGTATCTTTTCTGTCTCTGATTCGTACTTTATCAATTGGCTGTGGTCTGTTATATATAGCCTGTTCTATTAGAAGGAAAAACAAAACAATAAGTTTGTTTTATGAAAATCATGTTAGAATAGGAATGTTAAAATCATTTGTTAAAAAAAAAACAAACTGAGTTTGTTTTACGAAACTCATTTGTTAAAATAGGAAGACACATCTACATTTACTATAAATTATTAAGTCAATATCTAAGATTTTTTTATACCTGAGCTTCTAAGGGTCTACCTTATTCTACACTTATATATCTGATGTGTTACTCAGCAGTTCTTAAATAAAAATTATACTTTCATTATGAAGAAATTTCCATCAAATGGAATATTTAGGAAAGTGAGAAATTTGTGTAATTTCTAATGAGTACTAGGCCTAGTCTGATAAAGCCATGGTGGCACAATAGTTAAGTGTTTGGCCACTAAATGAAAGGCTGGCAGTTCAAACTCACCTAATGGCTCAGCAGGAAAAAGACCTGGCAAATCTGCCAGGCAATTTGGCAAATTCTACTCTGTCACATGGGGTTTCTACGAGTTGAAAACTGACTCAAAATCACGTAACAACAACATCCCTTTTGGAAATATAATACAGAAAATAGGATTTCACTTTTTAGTGACTAAGGAAGCTGACATTTCTTAATTTTCCTGAAAAGTCAGTCTCAATATACAGTGCTATGGGCAAAGAAAGAACGACACTGAAATGAAAGACAGACTCCAGGGCAGACCATAAATGCTATCACCTCTACATAAAATAAAATAATCTCTGACAGGAAGCTCTGGTAAAATGTCTCATTTTCATAGACACAGAACACAAAATATACTCTTTTCAAACAATGGGTTACAAGGTTCTAATGACCTTATCACTGTGTGACTATAGTTACATTTTTCTTTAAAAAGTATGTCATGTTAATGCAATAAAAAGGCAGAATACATTTAAATATATGCATATTCATTAACTTTACACTTGAAAAAGAAACCTAAGTGAAAGAAACTTTCTTCCATGAAAAAATATTCTGGCACTTTTATTATATGTAACTGTAGCAGTTCACAAATTATTTTTTTTAAACATTGCTAGAAAGAATTTGTAGCACTAATACAGTATTTACAAATTAAATGGCCTTTTCGTACTTCTCATAAAATAATTTATTTGTCCAAAAAAACTGCATTCTTAAATTATATCTTTACTTATATTCAATACTGTTCCTTTAAAATGATACCAACAATTTTCATTACAGGTCAGAGGAAAATACAGTTTAATCAACAGAAATCTGGTTTAAAGCAAAATCTCAAAAATATTTATTCCATAATATTACAGCATCTCTTTGAATTCTTTATCTAAATCTACTTGCAATCTAACCACAAAAGAAATCAATGTGTGTTTTAAGGATAAAAAAGTCAAATAAAGATGTTGCTTGGTTTTTATTTTTACCACATCCAAAATTGATTGCTCCTATCAATTCGAGGTATGTATGAATCCGTCCAATACAATTAACATCCCCACAGTTCTTCAGGCCAGGACGTACTGAGGTCTTATTTAAGTATTTCGGTTTGCATATCTCCCTAATTAAAAGATGGAAGTACAATTACTTTGGATTAAAAACATGAAAGAAAAAAAAAAAAAAACTTCTGGGAAAAACTATTAATATTTGAACTATCTTAAAATTCTACCCCTTCTCAATGTATAAATTTGTAATAAATGCAATGCTAATACATAATATTCCAGTGTACTTTTTTCTGAAATAAAGCATCTTTAAATGATGCAAAAACTCACAAATATAGTACAATTTGCACAAGTATTATTTCTTACTCAATATTAAATTCAATAGATTCTGGTTACCCCAGGACCTGGAAGTTAGAAGCTTATTCATCTACAGATCCAAATTCAAGCAAGATTGAATCTTTTTCATAAAAAAGGGTACTCTGATAATGCCATATGGAAAGTATTTAAAACCAGTTACCATAAAGCCAATTCCAAATCATGGTGGCAACCCCACATGTGTCAGAGTAGAACTGTGTTCCAGACAGTTTTCAATGGCTGTTTTTTGCAGAAGTAGTTTGTTAGGCCTTTCTTCCAAGACATCTCTGGGTGGACTTGAACTACTGACCTTTTGGTTAGCAGCTAAGCACATTTATAATGTGCATCACCGAGAGACTCTTGAAAGTATTCAGTATTAATTTTCTAATTTTTAATATCTTATGTAGGCTCATCTATTCTTACTTTGCTGGGCAATGTTTTTTAAGTAACTACTTATCGTAAAAGTTTTATATTAGATTTTAATCACTATGTCAATAAATATTAAGTGCTTATTCTCCATAGAAAACAGAAACAGGTATTACAGAAGATCTAAAAGGAATCAAGAACTTCCCAAAGACTATGAAAAAGTAAGAACTTCATATAATAGACATTTATTGAATATACTTAATATAACAAGCTAGACAGAAGATTATATTTAGATATATAACATAAATATTTCTTATTCAATCACTGTTTTCTTTTACAATTATTTATCTTGTATCCTCCACATCAGACATTCTTCTAGGCATTAGGGATGTGGTGAGAACAATACAAAGTTCCTGACATCACAGACCATACAACAACAAAAACCACAACCATTGCCGTGGTGTCGATGACTCATAGCAACCCTTTCTTGGGTTTCCAAGGCAGTATTACTACGGAAGTAGATTGCCCAACCTTCCTTCCGGGGAGTGGCTGGTGGGTTTGAATAGCAAGGCTTCTGGTTAGCAGTCAAATGCCTTAGGCACTACGCCACCAGAGCTCCCAGAACTTAAAACAGGGGAGTCATATTGCTATGTCAGGTAGCAACAAGAACTAAAACAAAAGTGTAAGAAGGATAAGGAGATGCACTGAGATAAAACAGGCATAGACTAAATATTTTAGATAGGAGGTTTAGGGAAGTAGAAACCAAATTTAAAACTCATAAATTTTATAGAAGTTCAGGGAAGGGAAACAAACTGCACACAGATGAAGGGATGAAAGCAGGAATAAGCATGGTCATCAAATTCTAAAAACTAATGAATAATACCCAAATAAATCCAAAGGCTTTAAACAGAACACAGTAATTTAGCACACACTGCTAAACTATAATACTTGTTCATAATAATAGTGATGATTCATTAATCTTTTTCTTCCAACAAATATTAAGTACCCTCTGTATCTCAAGCATTGTTATAAAACAGACAAAAATCTACCCTCACAGACAAAAGTCTGCATTATTTTTTTTTGAGCCTACATTCTTGTGTGTGGATGGGGAAGTAGTAATACACAAAAATATAGTAATGTGCTAACAGTAAGTTCTATGAAGATAAAGAAGCATAAGAGAACAAAGAGAAGAGGAAAGAGATACAAGAGCTATTTTAGGTAGGAAGCTCAGAGAAGGCCTGATTTCTCTTGAGCAGACTTGAATGAAAGCCGAAGCAAGACTCACCAAGATCTGCGAGGAAAAAGCATACAAGGCAGAATGAAAAGTCAGGGAAAGGGCCTCAAGTTGCAAGTGTGAAAATAAGAAGTCAAGATTGCAGATGCTGGAATCAACCTTTGCCGAGTGTGACCTGGAACAAGTTATTTATTCTCTGAACCTCATTTTTCTCCTTTGTAAAATGAGGGCAGTACCTATTCTGCAAAATTGTCAAGAGGACTGGAGACGATTTAGAAGCAATGCATGGTATTTAGTAGGTATTCAATAATAGCAGTTGTTAATATTTTAATAAAAACATTCCCCTAACAGGCAATCAATTCCATGTGCTTTTATGGAAAGGATCTTTTAGCTACAAAGAAATCTGACAAGACTCTTTTATTTTATTTTTTTATTTTTAAAACTTTTCTTTAAAAAAAAATAATAAAATAAATATTGCTCATCTCTAACCATTCTTTCTATTTCTGAGAACAGATATGAGTTCCTTTTCAAAACATTTCTTTTTCTCTAACACTCTCTGCTCTGCTAAATCACCATATTGAAAGAGCAACATCTAACTGGTTTGGGGATTATTTCATAAATTAAAACAAGTGGCATGGGGACCATTTCATGAATTAAGACAAATGACATGAGTAAACCACTGTCATATAGTTTTTACTACCTATATAAATTATTCTGCCTTATTTAGAACCCTAAATTCAAAGTAACATTAATTATTCATATAAATATTGCTATGATTCTGAAGTCCTTCAATTTTGTTTTTCACCTTCTTACTTTTAAGAACAAAAGTAAACAGAGATCTAATTTCATTTTATTTATTTATTTATTTATTTTAAAGTATGAATCAGGCAATGTGGAATAGTGGAAAGAGTTTGATTTACAATCAGGACATGGAGTGAAATATTTCCTGTTACTGGCTGGCCATTATATATAATCAAAGGCAGGTCTAGAAATCTTTCTAAACCTCAGAATCCTTCTCTATTAAATAGAACTAATAACACCTGCTTATTTCACAGGACTGCTGTGAAGAATCAAATGAGATGTTATAGAAAAACTTTCTGTAAAGAACTATAAAAATGTCAGCTGCTCCTTACAAGTATTCTTTACTATGATGGTGCCCTTACCCAGAAATAGTATTTTTAGCAACCCTAACCATCTGTGAGATAGCTCTGAGTCAAAAACAAGATAAAAAAATCCCCTTCTTAGAATATGGTTATCCTTAAGAGACAAATGACTTAATATTGTGAGTAAGATGAAAGTTACTGATTTAATAAACCAGGTTATGTTTTCCTTTGTAACCTTTCTAGGTTTACCAGAAAGCTATTGCAAAGGATGAAAAGATCCTTGATTAAGCACTAAAGAAAAACAAGGGACAAAGAACCACCTCAACCACATGGAACTATGAAGCTCTCTATGGATGGCCCTATCCAATTCAGTAGCTACTGCAGCAGTAACAATTATGAATAAAGATGGCTTAATAGAGACATTAAGAAAAATTCAAATAACCTGTACTATACTTAGGTTAACAGGGTGGGAAGTTTGTTGGTCTATTTTCTCTCCCACTAAATAATTCAAACAAAAGATGTTCACAACATAGAGGATAAACTTCATGTATCAGAAAATTCCTGTATCCTGATGAAGTCTGATAAAGGACATTATGCCACAAGTTCAAAATTTAAAGCAAAGGCATCTATTCAAGAGAATTGGTGTAGAGTACCTAAGGCATTTGACTGCTAACCAGAATGCTGGTGGTTCAAACCCACCAGCCACTTCTTGGAAGGAAGATTGGGCAATATACCTCATAGTGATACTGCCTCAGAAACCCAAGGAGGGGTTGCTATGAGTTGGAAACGACTCGACGCCATTTTTTTTAATCATTTTATTTCAAAGTGCATTACAGACTTGAAAAAACCAAGGCATTCTCTCCTTTCCAAAGAAATGTTCTCTATCTGTATCTTCTCAACACTATCCCAAGAAATAGCTTCTTAAGGCAATGACCTATATCTCTCATTTACCAAACCTTTCCAAAAAGGTTCACTATGAGACATTTAAAATCTAGCCTATGTAAATACAATAATAAGCTCTCTGGATCACAGTCAATGTGAGATATTAAATTCTTAATAAGCCAAATTAAAATAATCCAGAGAATCATGAGTTTTAAAACAGCATATAAAATATAAATTTTTCTTACCACTGATCCAAAATGTAATTCCTAATTTTCAAATAGCGTTCTGGTGTTTTAGCTTGGCGTCCCTCAAAGAACTCTGGAATTGCTTGTTTTTCTTCTTCTTGAATGATGTTTCTATCTATTTCTACTTCTTGTTCTGGTGGCTTAAGCTCTTCTTCCTCATGATTCTCCCCTTCAATTTGACAGGAAGACTGAAAAAGCATTTCCTGATCATTCAAATCTTTCTGAACTTCACAAGGCTCAAGAAAAGGCAGCTGCCTAGCGTCATCTCTTACTCCATTTTCATAATGCTTATCATAGTTTTTAATCAGCTCATTACATTTCTGATCATTTGAGTCAACTGATTTTTTGTCACTAGTGCTTTGTTTTTCAGTCCATAATGTAATTACTGAGCTTGAAAACGGTTCTGCCTTACTTTGCTTTACATTCTGAAGATATTCCTGGGAAGAATTAGAAAAGGATTCTTTCTCTGTGTCAGAAGCAATGAATTCTCCTTGATTGGTCTCCTGAGTTTTATTATCAGGAACGTCTAGTAAGAGACCACTGCTAGGCTTCTTTTCAGGTACTTGAGAAGTCAACTCATCTGCCTCATCTGTGATGTCCACTTCTTCATCATCAGATAACTTTTCAATTTTTACAGCATTCAAGTTGGGGTCGGCAAGTCCCCTTAAACCTGATGGTGATGGTGTCCACGCCTTCGTCCCTTCACCCTCATGTTTAACCTGAAGGTCACTGCTGTTCTTCTGATTCAGTGTTTCTTTCTCCAGACCATCTAATTTTACCTTATGGAAAATCAGGATAAAATCCCCAAAGTATTAACATATAAAATTTAAGCACCAGCACAAAAAATATAGGATAAATATGATGCCATTAAACTAAGTACACGTCAATGGTATATTGAATTTTTATTGTGCTTTCTTTAAATGGTTTACAATTAAATGCAAATGACCACCACCACTTCAAATTTCATAAATATACTTAAATCATTCATGGTCTCATGATCTTTATTAACCAAAAAATCACGAACTATATAGAACTACTACTTCTTTTTCAATATTAATTTAAAAAACATCTGACTCAGATCAACCATAAAGATGAACCAATAACTATCATACTAAGGTATTCTATAAGATTAAAATATTCATAAAGGCTCAGAGTATCTGAAACCACAGCTTATCACTTCTTATTATGCAAAATAATTCTTAATTTAAAGGAGTCCATATCTGAGTAACCTCACAGATCTTTACTCAGTAAATTAAAATCATCTTTCACTTAACTACAGAGACAGGAGAAACAAACATTTTTTGTAGATTCATTTAATGCAGCTGTAATATTTTAAACCTTGTAATTTAAGGCAAGAAATTATCTCCCATATCTACTATTATAGACATAAATATCTGGTAATGTAACAAGGAAAAGATAATGAAAGTCAGTGAGTAAATATGACTTCAAATAAAAGTTTTATATACAGAGTTTTTTAAAAAACTTTTATAAAAAAGTTGGCATACTCAAATGATATGAAAGCTCCCAAAGAGATTATTTATATATTGTGTACCACAATAGCATCCCAGAATCACATACTGATGGTTAGCTGGCTTTATATATTGAAGAATGAAAAGTAGGAGGAAAGGAGATTTGGACATACAGCCTGAAGTAGCCTTTAAGAAGCTTGTTAATTTATCTGAAATCTGCTTTCATCTTAAAAATTCACATGAAATTTTGTACTATATTTCATAATCTATCAGTTCTGTTTTAATATTAAAATAAATCTCCCTGCTGACATTTCAAGATGCACCACATATAGCCTAGAATTATGCATGTCCCAGTTTGAGAAGCATGGGGCTAAGAATAACCAAGTTGAACTTTATTCTGTTCCATGATACCTCAATCTTGTCTAACTGCTTTGAAAATGCTCATTTGGTTAAAAAAGGAAGTAGATGATTGATATATGCTGAATCCATTACTTAACACCTATCCCAACTAAGACTAGGTTAGACATAATTTTGTATACAAGATACATACAGTTTATTATTTACATTAAAAGATATCACCAAATTTCACTTCATATTTCCAAATTCTATATAAATATATTCAAGGCAATATATTAAAAAAATCCTAAATAACAAAACAGAATGAATACAGCACAGATTGCTTTAAAAATTAAGTAACTAGACCATAACTAAACCTTTCTGAACACTGCAATTCAGGTTTTCAGACAATTCTTTGCATCAACCGTAGAAGTTTCACTGCTATTAAACAGATTTCAGAATCATGTTAACATTTATAGCCCTAAGCTCTAATAATGCTTTAAAATTCTTGTAATGCAAATATTTTAAAAGAAAAGATATTTTTTAGAGGAAACGCTAAAGTAAGACCTCTAAGGTTTTCCCTTTATAATACACTTCATGCTCTGTAGGATGTTTCTGAGCAATTAGTATTTTATCTGTTTATTTAGCTGTCTGAAATTAAGTGGAATAACATTACTACCTATTTAATCACAACACTCACAATACTAAAGATATGTTATGGGTTTTTAAAGATAAGAGGGTAGTACTTCACAGGTTATACAGTATTTTTGCTACAAAAATTTTTACTCTAAGACTTTAATGCCTGAATTGTTCTTTAATGATGGAAATATTTCTGATTATTGATTTTGTTTCTTCTAAATAGTATCATTATGAACTAAGATAGTGCTTACCTTATTTTTAAAGTACTGTCTGGCATAGCTCTTCACTTGTAAAACGGTGCGACTGCCTATTAACTTTGCAATTTTGGTCCACCTTCGACCAAATTTTGCCTATTATCAAAATGGGAAAAAAAAGGGAAGTAGGTGGCTTTTGATCAACTTGTTAAAATTCCAAGCAACTGACACATTAAAAACAAACAAACAAATTAAAAAATAAAAGAACTACCTATCTTTATTTTCTAAAGCACACTTCAAATGAAGCCTCGTTTAGACTAGGCTCTTAAAATCAAAGCCCATATTCCTCTTTGGAACAGAAACTTTTGAAAACTGCCCAAACGATTTAGAAATTATTATTATTTTTTATAGCTACCTAAATTAAGATCCAACATTTCTATTACCTAACACAGCACGTATTTATATTATACATGATACCCCAAGTCTAAGATAAATGTTTAAAATCAACGTGTGCTTGAAAGGAAAGCAGGTAATATTTTCCATTTACAAGATCAACTGAGTATGTTCTGACGCTAATTTCAAACTAACATTTTGTTTTACTCAGCTTCCATCTTTTGCAACACCCATTGTATGTCCCACAGAATAAATCTTTATATAGATAGCACAATGGACTGACTGGTAAGATTGACTCACAAATGAAGCACACTTGCAACCAATGCCTCCCTACATTTTTCTAGTCAAAGGCATCTGCTAACCACTGAAGCTGTGGTGGAAAACATAGGACTTGAGGGAGCTCCTGTGTGTTCGAAAGTATAGAAATTAATTGGTAATTTTAGAACTGAAAAGGATTTTCAGATATCAAGGATAACTATCATCTGACTCACAAATCTCTTTTACAACATCTTCAATACAAGACACTCTATTTCCCAAGGCAGTTCAATAATTGTAATTGGTTAGAGTTCTTGTAAACAACGAGAAGGAAAAAAACAACGAATCACCCTAAAAGAGTCACAACTCAGGGAAGCTGATACAAAGCCTAATTTCCAGGCCAGGCAGTCATGCTTAATAAGAACAAATCATCCTCAAAAATATGACCCAAATGATAAACCTTAATATACAAAATTAGGGATTGTACTATTCAGGCAATTTTTAACAATGAAAGCACTTCTGGGAAATTATTAGTAAGTACATATTAATTATTAAAGATTATGTTTAAACTAACTCTTAGCTGGGAGCTCTGGTAGCATAGTGCCTAAGGCATTTGACTGCTAACCAGAAGGCTGGCGGTTCAAACCCATCAGCCACTCCTCAGAAGAAAGATGGGGCAATCTACTTCTGTAGTGATACTGCCTCGGAAACCCAAGGAGGGGTCACTATAAGTTGGGTCCGACTCAAGGGCACTTAACAATAACAACAACAACTCTTAGCTGGGATCAACTTACTGAAGAATTAGTTATGTATACCAAGGGATGAAAACAAATACAGTGAAACTTGTGAGAGCCAGAACTTAAAGAGACTGCCTTGTTTTTCCAGTTCTCACTAGTTTTCCTCCTCCTGCAAGTTTTCTGCTTTGACAGGGTGCAGTCTTACCACTTTTCTATCATTCTCTATTAGTGGAAAATATTTGGTTTTCTTCTTGGACAGGTTTCTGCCTTACACAGGTTCTGGCTTCTGCAGGTTTTGGTGTAGATAACTTAATAGGATGGAGCAGTTTGAGAAACATTAGAGTTCTGGACAGAACTACTGACTGGGATTGTAGGGGATGGGTACTAAGAAATTTAGGGAGGGGACACTAACGAGAGAAAAACATTCACCAATTTAAAAATGGCGAAAAGAAAAACTAGTTGCTGTTGAGTCGATTCTAACTCCTGGTGACCCCACGTGTGTCACAGCAGAACTGTGCTCCACAGGGTTTTCAACGGTTGATTTTTTGTAAGTAGATCACCAAGGCTTTCTTCCCAGGCATCACTGGTAGACCTGAACCTCCCAACTTTCAGTAAGAAGCTAAACAAGTTAACAGTTTGACACTGGTTACCTCACAAAGAGAACTGAAATCTTAAGACAAAAGTGAGAGGGAAACTTAAGAGCCTATAATGTTAGTATTCTTTGAATTTTTAAACCTTGAAAATGTAGTCCTAAAATTGATCCTTTAGTTCTCAACCCATTTGTATATATAAATAGTCTTTGATAGGAGGCAAAACCGCAAAGTTGTCAGCAACCTTAATTATACTTAGATCATATCAATGATAATCATGCAAAATGCCAACTTAAAAAACATAACAGTACAGGTAAAACAAATGCCAGAAGAGAAAAAACCCTCAAGATAAGTTTATATATTTATATGAAAACATCACAGAATATATGGATGTCATGGTGACCACCAATTATAAAAACACACATTATTTCCCATGACCTGTAGAAATGTTAACAATGTCATTTCAACTCACATTCTTCAATCTTACATAAATATGATTACATAAATATTTCTGTATTGAATATATAAAATATATATAATTTCAAAATTAATTAGGACAACACTGGGTAACATGTACCTTAAAGGAAAGCATACAACCTACTCTTAACAATAGTAATAAATCCTCAACATTTTATTAAAAGCTCCTTCATGTTAAGGAGTATTTTCAGAATAAGAAACTAGCACATATTTTTCCCTCATTATGTATAATTCATGAAAAGTAAATGTTTTTAGTCTTTAATTACATCCACTAAGATATTTAGACTATGTGCATAATGCCAAATATCTGAATAAACAAACTCAGCTGATAACCCAAACAATTCCAAATACACAAGTTTCTGTCTCTAGTTATTTTGAAAGAAAACATCAAATGACTAAATAGTCCTGCTTTTTAATCCAGGTAGTTGGTGTCATACAGACAGATACAGGTCAATTTCTTAGGTTTTATTAATAGAAAAAGAAGTCCCAAAAAACTGTGAGAAAACTATTTAAAATAGTAAAGCAAAGCTATCTCAGAATTTTAGCAATTTAGATATGTATTAAATGGAATTCTCTTATACTACACTACAAATACCATCACTTTAACTGTAGAAAAACTAAAGGTGTTATCACTGTAATTAAATAAATTTCCACCTTCTACAAACTAATTTACCCTTATAAATCTATCAATATTTGCTTCTAGAATCATTTTACTATAGATTAAAAATTGCTCTATTTACCAGCCCTTGTTCAAACAGCTCTTTTTCTTCTATCGTCCACTTTACTGAGTAACTGGCTGGTTTTGTAGGAGATTGTACCCTGAGGGAAAAAAAGGAATTGCAAAAAAATTTCTGAAATGGAACACTCTATATTTATGCAATAAAAGTAATAAAGAGCCATGGGTTATAGTCAGTACTTTGATTCTAAGGATTAAAGAAGAAAAGGCTGTAGCCTCTACCTGAAGGAGAGATTTACCCTGACTTGCACACTTCTCTTGCTTAGAATGAAAGGAACCCCAAAAATAGATCCTTGGGTCTGAGTGAGGATTACGCTATAAGATACTAAAGGAAGTCACATTGATAACAAACAAACAGACTTCCTTAAGTTACACACAAAGCAGCAGACATTAATATATTCCCAAATCCTGAAAGGCATGTAAGAGTTTAAGGTGGTTCTAGAAATATTATCATCTCTTTGATTCTTCTATGTAAATCCAAGGAAATATTGAGCCAGAAAAGAAGCAAAAAACTATGGCAATACATTGATTTCTTTTAAAATACAGTATCTTAAGAAATAAAAATAAAATTGTGATACATATTTACTTAAGCCACAACTTTCAGTTAACTTCATTTATTCCACTGTTGCTTATTCAGCAAAATACAAAGCCAGAGGCTGTTCACTGCTCAAGCTATTTATCGGCAATTGCAAATCTAAATGAATATAAGTTCACCATTTTTAGGGACTACAAATTTGCATGTTTATAAACACAAAATAACAAATTTTCTGCAATTATAGGGAAAAGATATTTATAAACATGGTTTTCTTAACTAGGTAATGTAACTAAATTAATTCAAATGAAAATGAAAGAGCAATAGAAAACAAGTCAATTCCTAATAAATGATAGCAGAATCTTAAAATTTTCCCAAAAATCCCTAAGAAGACATCTTTTCCAAAATCTGATGAAATCACCTGCTTAGAGCCATGTAAGAAATTGTGGCAACTAAAGGATATCATAAAATTTCACTTGTGGTATTCCAACATCTGTATGAGAAACCTGAGTTTTACATTTACCCCAAATTTTTGTATAATTCAAGGTCAAGAAGGCTTTTCCAAGGGACAAATTTGTCCAAAGGACAAAGCAACAATTTTTTTTCTTAAAAATGTCCCATAATTTCTAACAAATTAAAAAGGCTTACAGAAGATAAAACATAAGTACATACATGGTTTTTCCTGTTTTCTGCAGACTGCATATGAAAAAAGAAAATAAGGAATCTTTGAAGACATTTTTAAAATTACAATTCAAACTTTTAAAAGCATTATAAATTAATTTTACCTTTTCATATATTTTTTATCACTTTCTTTTTGATCGAGCCAGAATTTTTCTGGAAGTGATTTTTTAGATAAATAATATCTGTGTAATTATTAAGGAAACTTTTAAACAATAATGAAGACATGATTCTTATGTGATTTATACAAAGCAGGCATTCATATACTCATGGAAGCCACACTGGAATTCTAGATGAACCAATTCCTCTCAAAGCATTTTCCAGGTCTGCAAAAATTACAGTAAAAATGTTTATACTCCACAGAATTGTTAAGTGGATTAAATATGGTATTAACGTGTGAAATACAATACAGTGCCTGCACAAATATGTGCAAAATAAATGCTAGTTTCTCTGCTCTAGGATGGTGCAAATGCTTAATGTACTTGGCTGTGACCTGAAAGGTTGGTGGTTTGAGTCCATTCAGAGGTGTCTCAGAAGAAAGGCTCGTGATCTACCTCCGAAAAATCAGCCACTGAAAACCCAACGGAGCACAGTTTTACTTTGATCTACATGAAGTCTCCATGAGTCAGAACTGACTCTACTGAAAATGGTTTTTCCCTATCAGAAGTGGCTAAGACACTGCGGGTGCCGTGTCGCTTTAAAAAAGTATCTGTATAAGACAAAATGGTCGATAACTACTTTAAAACAAAGATGGCAAAGTAAAGGGGGCAAAGCAACTAGATGACTGGAAATGGAACAACCAGAACAGAAATAATGAGAATGTTCAAACACTAAGGAATGTAACCAATGTCACTGAACAATTCGCGTAGAAATTGTTGAAGGGGAACCTAATGCGCTGTGTAAATTTTCATTGAAAACATAAAAAGTATTATTTAAAAAAAAAAAAAACAAGTGAATCAGAGAAGAAATAACCTCAATGTTTTATTAAACTTTTCTCTAAAATATATGAAGAGAGTAACAGATGAATTAAATTGGTTGTCCAAGACAGAAGTTAGGAATATTTGTTTTCATATTACTGGTAACAGAGAAGAGTTCAGGGTTATTTTCTACTCTAAAAAAAAGGAAAAGCACTTACATCTAATCTACTAGGCATCCAGGAACCCTCCTTTTCAAAGCTGTTAAAATTACTGTAATACTAAAACAACAAAAAAACAAACTCACTGCTGTTGAGTCAGATTCGACTCATAGAGACCTCTCCTTGGGTTTCCAAGGCAGTATCTCTATGGAAGTAGATTGCCCAATCTTCCTTCAAAGGAGTGGCTAGTGGGTTTGAACCGCCAGCCTTCTGGTTAGCAGTCAAATGCCTTAGGCACTACACCACCAGAGCTCCTACTGTAAAACTACTGGATTAATATTCTTCACTCAACAAATATTTATCGACTTCATACCATGTGCGTTAAGTGCTAGTCTAAGATATAAGAACACTTTATCTTTGTTGTCTAGGAGCTTACATAGCTCTTACTCTCATTACTTTCATTTCCAAATTTGGAGGAGAACCAATGACTATTCATGTGTTCATCAATCCAGAATTGCGAACATCACATACAGATCAAAGAAACTAAGACAAGAAGCCAGTGGGAGAATTGTAGACAAGGATCCACAACTTCTGGGTGGGTGGAGAGAATCTTCACTCTGTAGTTATTTTATGCTTTTTACTTATATTCCTCCTACATTACACCTGTAAATTGGTAGAGTAGGAAGTGAGAACTTTTACATATGCTGATTCTGTGAACTTGGATAAATTAACAACTCTGGGTTTCAACTTACATAACTTTGGAAATGGAGATGTGGACTAAATGATTTTAGATTTGGACTAAAGCCTACTTTAAATATTGTATAATTTTTACTCAATATATAGAAAAAATGTATACTCAGTATGAAGAGTTGGCTGACAACAGTAACTCAATTAAAACAGTCAGATCTTAGACTCAGCAGTAAAACAGGATTTGGGGAATAAAATGCTTTTTCTGAAAATAGGCAACAATATTACATAACAGCAGTCTGGGGCTAAATATAACTCAGTTAACTACTCCATCTGTTCCCTCTTATAATTTTTGCATCAATACATTTTTAACCCTGAAATCTTTGCTTTTCTTATAATCATTAAAGGATACTCTTCTTCCAACAACATTTTCTCAATGACAGCTCTGTTCTCATCACTGATGGTGCTATCCAGAGTCCAAGGCTATTAAAAAAAAGAAAAACATGCATTTTTAAATTTACTGTTTTTTGAAATTATCTTCTATGTTTTATCAAATAAAAATATATGATGATATGATGAATGGTAGGTAGTAACACCTACCATTTATGTGCACGTAAGTACATCATTTTGATTCCCACAATAACATTATGAGATAGGCATTATTATGTCACAGATGAATCCACGGTGCTATTAGCATTTTAGGTGGAAGAGCAGACACTTGACACACATACCTGTTTGATTTCAAGGCTCATACTCCAACCCATGATAAAGTAATAATGGCTATTAGGGACCGATAGCACATAAGCTATCTCCAAAACTTATAATACTTTTCTCCCCCTCAAGTCACAATCTTTCCCTAGATGATTATATTCATTTTCAATTCTCAAAACTTACACATTTTCAGTTGAGATCATACCTCCAGTTCCAGACTGTTTTATCTAACTGCTCACTCAATGATTCCACCAAATTCACTGCCTTCGACTCGGTTCCAACTCTTAGCAACCTCTCCTTGGGTTTCCTCTATGGAAGTAGACTGCCCTGTCTTCCTTCCAAGGAAGGTTTGAACCACCAGCCTTCTGGTTAGCAGTCAAATGCCTTAGGCCACCAGAGCTCCTTGCATATCTAATAGCCTTCTCAAATTTAACAAAACAAAATGTACTACCACACACTTCCACCTGTTTCTCTGCTTCATTCCCCATTTTTTAAATGACACTACCAGTCACCAAGTTATTCAAGCTAGAAGATCAGGAATCATCCTTATCTTTCCTTTTTTCCTCAATCCCCATATTCAATCTATTAACTACTGCCAAAGGGCATGTTGGCAGCATCTTCTAACCTCTTCCAACTTCACAAAAGGGACACAGAATCACCATCGGCAGCCCAAGGCTTATTCCTATGAGGCCAGACACGCCACTACCCTCTAGCTTTTTCACCAACTCTGACACCACCCCCCTCCCACAGCACTACTTCTCTGCTGGGTTCAGTAATTCATTTTAACAGCCACACAGAACTCATGGCAACACTCAAAATTATGGGGTTTATTAGGGAAGTAAAGGCTACAACTCAGGTTCAGGAATGCCCTCAGGATACAGTTTTTCAATCAGGACAGTCTCCCCTCTGCTATGCCCTCAAGCACACATCTCTGGTTCTTGACCTCTCAGCCTGGCCTCTGTTCTGCTTGGGTAAATGTTACAAGGCACTTTTAGTTCTGCTGATAGGTACATCTAGGTGCTCCCCACTCCCCACTCAGGCCGTCATCTCAGCTGTTTCTTTGCCAAGGAGGTCCAGCACAGGGATCTCGGGTTCAAGGATACATTCCACTCTACTTCCAGCTCTCTTTTTGGCAGTGAGAGCCCCTCTTCTGCCTCTAGGAGGGCTAATTTTAAGCCCAGCAGCATAGCAAAACTAACAAATCCTCATATTTGAGTTCCATACACCTTATTTGCATGGTCCCAACCAGTAATCTGGTAGGAGTCACAAAGACTACGGCTACAAAAGCCATACCAAGTAATTCACTGCACCACAACTATTCTACCTCCAAAACATAACTCAAATTTGTATTCCTTTGCTACCACTTCAGGCCAAACCACCATCAAATCCTGCCTAGACCACTGCAGAAGTTTCCTAACTAGTCACTTTGCTTCCATACTCTTCCTTCCCTACAATCTAATCTTCACCACAGTACTCAAAGTGAATTTTATAAAAATGAACTTATTCATCTACATAAAATGTTTCAATGACATTCCATTTCACACAGAATAAAATCTAAACTCTTTAGCATAATTGGAACCACGAAGTCCTATACGATACAGCTCTTACCTGCCTCTCCAACCTTGTCACATGCTGCCACTCTCCTTTCCCACCAAAGTCTAGACACTGGCCTTCAATCAGAATCCTTGTGCTTGTTGTTCTTTCTGCCTGGAATGCTTTCTTCAACTCTCCCTGTGGTTAGCTATCTCTCTTCTCTTAGCTTTCAACTTAAATGTCACCTCCTCAGAGTCACCCGTACTAACAACTTTATCTAAAGCAGGCTTCCCACCTTGTTATTTTCAGCCAGTAGCTTTCTTATTTCTTCCATATTCTGTAACTATTTATAATCCAAATCCTCTTTAGGATTTAATTTCCTTGAGAGTCTGTCTTGATTATAGTTTTATCCCCCAAACCCAGCCTGTGGTCTGGCATACAGTAAGCAATCAATAACTAACTGCTGGTAGCATAGTGCCTAAGGCACTTGACTGCTAACCAGAAGGCTGGCAGTTCAAACCCACCAGCCACTCCTCTGAAGGAAAGTTGGGCAATCCTACTTCTGTAGTGATATTGCCTGGGAAACCCAAGGAGGGACACTATGAGTCGGGCCCACTCGATGGCACATAACAACAACAACAAAGAAGAAATGAGGCCTACAATGATCTGCATTATTTATTTGATCCCCATTTTTTAGATAAAGAACTGAGGTTCGCAAATGTGGTTAAATGTAGAGCAAGAAATTCTACCTCAATCTAGCTGGCCCTCAATATGCTATTTTTCCAGATAAAGAAAATAAGAAATTTCTTTCATTCTTAAAGTAAGAAAAATGTTTCAATATATTATCTCTGTGATGGCTGAGAACAAGTACCAAAGAAAAATAAATAAATAAAAATAATAATTATACTCTGGGGTAACTTAATATACCTAGTATTTTCATAAAATACTTACAATAAGGCCATTATCAGTTCTCCAGGATGAATCCAGATAATGATCTTGTAAAACAGATGCTGTATTTTCATCACTTCTGTAATCAATAAAATAAATATAAAAATACTATTATATGAGGTAATGGCTATAATATAGTTACTGGCAGGAGGCAGGCATTGATCAAGTTTTTAGTTCCCTTCTCTTCTTAACAGACAGATTTTACATTGCAGAAATGCTTGTGCCAACTTGTTGGCTTGAGAAATAGATGACTGCTACAAGCTATCCTATCTCAATAGCAAAACACCAAATCTTACTATTCACTTCTTTGTTCCTGAAGAATACATAATCATGCACTAATCACAACAGGTTCTTGTTGCCATAAACCAATACATCATATTTCTTTTGATAAGTATCCATGTGTCTACAGGAATTCTACTTTGCATTAATCCTTCCAGCTGTATTTAAAGTATTAAAGCTACCATTTGAGGCACTAGCCTCAAAATGAAGAACAAACAAGAATATATAGTAGAACCAAAATAGAAAGTATTTGGGTAGCATAGTGCCTAAGGCATGTGACCACTAACCGGAAGGCTGGGGGTTCAAACCCACCAGCCACTCCCAGGAAGGAAAGGTTGGGCAATCTACTTCCGTAGTGATATCACCTCAGAAACCCATGGAGGGGTCACTATGAATCGGATCCAACTTCACAGCAGTGGTTGCGTTTCATTTTTGCAGTGCAGAAAAATAATTTCAATAAGAACATTTATAATTAAAAATAAAAACTTAATTAACTTGGAGGCTTTTCTATGTCTAAGGTGAATAAAACATTCTTAACTCACTCTTATAGAACAAATAAGAACTTCCTAAAGTCACATTTATTCCCCTCATATGCAAAAAGGCTGAATAGTTAAACTGTGGGGGGGTCTAATCTATAATTACATATAATATTTGCTTTTATATATCTTAAAGTTGTAATATTTCTAGTAAAGGTATCAACTTTTTCCAGATCCTGTTTAAGTGGCAAGAATTTTGTATCTCTAAGATTACAAAAAATCTATGGACAAGTTTATATATTTGAATTTTTGATCATTTGAAATCCATTTTATACATTTGAAATTTTGATCTATCGTTGGTTATAAAAAATTATGGGGCTATAATGAAATAAAAACAATAATTTCTCTCAATTATTAATGGCAAATAAATTTAAACTCAAATGTCAACTCTTATCTGGTGGCGGTCACTAGGAATGCTACACAGAGGTTTTTGAGACATATCAGCAAAAAATAAACCTTTGCTTTATTATCTAGATCTGTCAAGCGCGCAGTATCACTTCAAGGTCACTGCAGAAATCTTTTCACATAGTATTTATTCCTCAGTAAGAAAGACTGGCAATATCCATACTCCAGATATATGCAGATCGACATCTTCTCTGAATTTCCATAGGTTCTACAAATCAACATGTTCAAACCTGAACTCAGCTTTCCTTACAAATCTGCTACTCACCCATTGTGCCCAATCTCAGTCAATGACACTCCAACCCTTCAATTGCCTAAGTCAGAAACTAAGCCTGCACTTTTCTCCTCATATTCAGTTTGTCACCAATACTACTGCTTCTCCCTTTTTAAAATCCACTATATCCATACTATATCCTTACTTCCAGACTTTATAATTTTCCTAGATAACTGCAAGAGATAAAGCTGACAAACCATTTTCTCTTATCTTTTTCCACTTATGATCATAATGGGAGCTCTGGTAGTATAGTACCTAAAGCACTTCACTGCTCTTCAGAAGGCTGGCAGTTCAAACCCACCAGCCACTCCTGGGAAGGAAGGTTGGGCAATCTACTGCAGCAGTGATACTGCCTCAGAAACTCACAGAGGGGTCACTATGAGTCGGGTCCAACTCAACGGCACATAACAACAACAACATACCTGTCTGTGGCTGTTGGGTGTTGTTGAGTAGATCCCAACTCATAGTGACCTATGTGACAGAGCAGAACTGCTCCACAGGGTTTTCTTGGCTGTAGTCTTTACAGGACCAGATTGCTTGGTTTTTCTCAAACCAAAATTGAAGTGTCCGTGGGAAACTCAAATATAGATAGATTCAGAGGGTTGAATAAACAGATGAGAAGTTCAGGAGAGAAATTTGGGCTAGTGAGAGATTTGGGAAACAGTAGCATATTATTAGCTCGAACTTACAAAACCACCATTTCTGTAATTTAAACATGATTGAACATCGACAAAATTTCACAAGGTTCAACCTAAGAGACAGAAATTGAAGCCCTTCGGAACCATGGTTGCAGGAGACATCAAGCTCAATTGGCATAACATACTACACAAAAACATTGCTCCATATCCTTCTTTGATGAGTGGGATCTTTAAAGCTTGCAAGCGGCCATGGGTCTCTCCTCACCCAGAGCAAAGAAGAATGAAGAAATCCAAAGACAAATGAAAACAATTAGACCAAGGGACTAGTACACCATGCAATCCTCAGCCTATACAACTATGAGACCAGAAGAGCTAGATGGTGACCAAGTACTACTGTCAACCACTCAGAGGGGGATTTACGTAGGCGATCCCGGGATCGAGCAGGAGAACAATGTGGAACAAAACTCACAATCATTTACAAAAAAAAAAAAAAAAGGACCAGGTTTGCTGGTCTGATGGAGCCTGGTGGAACCCCTGAGACTATGGCTCCTAACTGCCTTTCAGGTCTGGAATTGAACCACTGCTTTTGCTTCCAGCCAAACAAAAGACAGGCATATGAGCTGAACATTTACATTAGGTAGATACATTCCTTGGAGAGATCAATCATGGGAGAATAGAAGGGCTGTGTATGCACAGGGAGACAGCCTGGAGGGCAGGAATACATGGGAAGGAAGGACACAGGGAAGAGGTAACTATGGGAAGGAAGAAGAAGGGGAGCTGTTCATTGTGGGAGACAGCAGTCAATGTAATGAGACAAAGTGTATGTGAACTGCCGTATGGAAGATGAATTTGCTCTGTAAACTTTCATCCAAATCACAATAAAATTTAAAAAGGAAAGAAATTGAAGCCTTGAGGGATAATATCACCAGAGACTGTGTGGACAGTAAGTAGAAGTCCTATGACAATATTCCTTTGGAACACCATGATTCAAAGGATGAGCAGAAGTAGAATGAGAAAGAATGACAGGAGAGGTAAAAGGGAAACCAAAAAGATTCAATGCCATCATCTAACTTTGGTATTTATTATTTAACTAGTGCTTTAAAAGTATGTTGTAAATTAATCTCCATACTTCAGGGGCACCACTCACACTGAATTCCACATGAATCAAGTTCCAACATTCTGAGGCACCAGAGCATAATGCAAATGATGCTCCCTGGAGTTGTGTAAGGCAAAGCTCTGACCAAGAACCAATAATCTTTGTAACCCTGCTTGCAGAAGACTAAGGTGACCACCGATGCTGCCAGTAGCCCTAAAATCCAAGCAGAGTAATAAGAGAAAAAGAAAGCGAAGGGGGAAAGGGTTCTTAACATAATAAGAAAAATAAAGAAGAATTTAAGGTGGAAGAATGGTAGAGCCAATGCTCTCAGATGATCTTTAGTGTTTGCAAGGCCACTCATTTCTCTCTGGACTACAAATCAAGTATCACTGCCCATTCATCTCATGGACTTGATTTCAGGGATAATGACTATATGAGTTTAACTACCCCTCACATTTTTATAGTGCTTTACAGAGTTTCACAAAACAGTTTTATGCCCACTATCTTGGCCCCTCATGGGCAGGGTTGGTACTCTTCTCCTCAATTCACCAAAAAAAAAATCAGAGGCCCTGATGTAAGGTAGAACCATATGAAATTGACATTGTACCTGTTAAAAAAGGTCAAATACTGGCAATTTCACATGGCTCAATTTAAATGATTAACAAAGTTGTTCACAGCAAAAAACATGGCCAGCTGACTTTAGAACTCAGGTCTTGGATTTCTGGCCTGTCTAGGTAGGCTTCTTTCTTTACTAAAAGGAGACACTAGAAGAATATTTAAAAAATGGTATATACTGATTTCCTTATTCAAAAAATGTTGTTGTTGTTGTTGTGTGCCATCGAGTCAGACCCGACTCATAGCCACCCCTCCTTGGGTTTCCAAGGCAGTATCACTACGGAAGTAGATTGCCCCATCTTCCTTCCGAGGAGTGGCTGGTGGGTTTGAACCGCCAGCCTTCTGGTTAGCAGGCAAGTGCCTTAGCCACTATGCTACCAGAGCTCCCAAAAAATAGTACATATTAATTTCTTTACTTGGGAAGCAAGAAACCAAGCATTAGATCTTCCTAGCCGTGGTTGCTGTTTAAAACCACATTGGCCTGTTCTACAGGAATTCGTATTTAATTGAGATACCTCACCGGGTCCTGACAATACCATTACTGAGGGTAAGTAGGGATGGTGAAAGAACACGTTTACAGAGCACTAACCATTGGGCAAAGCACGTCCCATAATTATGTCATTTGACTCTCACAATACCCTTATAATGATACTCAGTTTACACGTAAGAGATTGGAGACTCAGAGAGATTAAGTGTCTGGTTACGCTAGTAACTGGTAGAGCCAATAAATGGAGAAAACAAACACAGAGCTGTTCAAATTTACAGCCTTTAAGTCAAGGAGCCTTTCAAGTCAGTCAGTTTTTCACAACTATCCCCATGTGAAAAAGGAAACCTAGTGCCTAAGGCATATGACTGCTGACCAGAAGGCAAGGTTCAAACCCCCCAGCCACTCCTTGGCAGGAAGATATAGCAATCTACTTCCGAGGTAATACCGCCTGGGAAACCCAAGGAGGGGACGCTATGAGTCGGATCCAACTCCACTGCAGTGAGTTTAATGGCTAGAAGAGATGAAACGACTCGCCCAAGGTCACCACGGCTTGCGAGGACAGAACAAGGGTCCTCGTGCTCAGGTCCCATTCTCGACACTGTATAAGCTGCCGCTGTTCCAGTTATTGGCGGGTGTGGAGTTGGGGAAGTAATTGGGGAAGTGGGGAGGGGAAAGAAGGAGGAATATTAATTGTTGGCGCATGTGTTGTTGTTATGTGCCCTCGAGTCAGACCCGACTCATAGCGACCCCTCCATGGGTTTCTGAAGCAGTTATCACTACAGAAGTAGCATGCCCCATCTTCCTTCCAAGGAGTGGCTGGTGGGTTTGAACCGCCAGGCTTCTTCTGGTTAGCAGTCAAGTGCCTTAGGCACTACGCTACCAGAGCTCCCACATGTACAACGTGCCAAACAAAGTCGGCGCCCTCACAGCACTCCAGTAAAAATGAAGAGTCCTCCCAACACTAGCGCCTAGTAACGGCTCACTAGCTCTGTACACGCCGGGGGGCGGGGCGGGAGCGGCAGGCGGGCGGGCCTACCGGATGGTCTTCCGATCACCTAAGCCCTGCCGTACCCTTGACCTTCCCAGGACCATCTCTTTGCACTCACGTCGATCTCCGCCCGACCCAGACCAAGTCTCTTAGTCTCACCCTGGCTGTGCTGCGGCCGCCACTACATCGCCTTCGACGTCCACATCCGCCTCTTCAGCCGCCATGATAGGGCCTGACCGGGTCCTGTCCTCTGGAGAGATCCCGCGAGAGGTGGAGAGCCGGGGGCGGAGCCGGACGTCATCGGGGAGGAGGTGAAACCTTGTCCAGCCCCTCCCATAGCCTTGGTAAAGTGACAGTAACCTGGGCTTTTTAAAACTTATGCTTCTTGGTAAGTGATAGTAACCCGGGCTTTTTGAAACTTATGCTTCTGCACAAATTCTTTGATGCCTCACCGCTTCATTTGTAAAATGGCGATGACAGCAAATATCTTTCTGAACTGCTGAAAAGGACGAGTCAGACCTTGCTTTGTTATCTATGAATATGAAGGAGCCTTACCTGCTAATTATTTAAGTTTTTCACTTTTATTTTCTACATTTTTATAGGAAGCGGGTCGTTTAATACTTATGGAAGGAACAGAACGACTTCGATTTTGAAATCCAATAAGTATTTAAAAATATTTTTTATGATTTCATAATTTATTTTGTAGTGATCTTTACAGTTAAAAAGTCACTCTCATGACTATGAATGCTTACAATAACCCAGTGATGTAGAGCATCATATCATCACTCATGCTTTACAAAATGAGGAAACTGAGAACTCAAAAAGGTGAAATGACTGCCCAAGGACACATAGCTAGTCAAAGACAGAGCTGAGACTAGAATCCAGGTCTTTCTGGCTCTTTACTGTGTGCTCATCCTGTACAAATCATTTTGTTAGGAGCGGTAGAGGATAAACACCATTTCTATCAAGAAGTTAGATATTAGCCTTATGCATTCTTCTGCTTTAGCATCTGGGAGATCTGGTAGCGTAGTGCCTAAGGCACTTGACTGCTAACCAGGAGGCTGGTGATTCAAACCCACGAGACACTCCTGGGAAGAAAGGTTGGGCAATCTACTTCTGTAGTGATACTGCCTTGGAAACCCAAGGAGGGGTTGCTATGAGTCCGGTCTGACTCGACGGCACATAACAACAACAACCTTGGCATCTATCACTCACATAATTAAAATTGTTAGTTTACTTGCCTAACTCACAACTGGACTGTGATTTCCTTAAGAACAAAGATTGTTAGTGCTTACAAGATCAACATTCAACATGGTATCTGACACATAATTGTTGTTAGTTGCTGTCAAGTAGGGCCCTGACTCATGGTGACCCCATGCACAAACAAAGGAAACACTGCCTAGTCCTGGGAGATCTGGTGGCATAGAGCCTAAGGCATTTGACTGCTAACCAGAAGGCTGGTGGTTCAAGCGCACCAGCAACTCCTCAGAAGGAAAATTGAGCAGTCTACTTACATAGAGGTACTGCCTCAGAAACCCAAGGAGAGGCCGCTATGAGTCAAATGGACTCGATGGCAGTGAGTTTGGTTTTTGTTTCTTCCCTGGTCTTACACCATCCCATTATAGGTTTCAATCAGACCGTTCTGATCCCTAGGAATTTTATTGGCTGATTTTTAGAAGTGCTTTGCAGGCCTTTCTTCCTAGTCCATCTTAGTCTGGATGCTCTGCTGAAACCTGCTTAGCATCATAGTAGCCCTAAGCTGCTCATGAAGTGCATTGGCTAGGACTTAAACCTGGGTCTCTCAAAATGAAAGGCAAGAATTCTACTTCTGAACCACCACTGCCCATTGACACATAGTAGGTGCTCAATAAATACTGAAGGGATAATGAATGAATCAATCATTTAAGGAAATGAGCTCACTTCCCACAGTATTCTCAATTTGTCCCATTTCACCTTTTTCTGTGCTCAGGACATAAGACAGACTGCACTGTGAATGGAAGGAGAGAGAGCCAGTGCTCAGAAGCTGAACACTGTTAGAGTCTCATTCTCAGACCACCTTGGGGATGCTGTTCCTTTTGTCAATGGACTTACCCACTGACCAGTCCCATGGTTAGCACAGAGAAGGCATTCTAAAATGATTTTGAATGGATATGGTTTTCCTTGATTTTTATGTAGCGGGCAGGGATGGGGACCCTGACAGAACTGCCTGGATGCACATCATATTGGAAGAGAATGATACCTCCTAGAGCATAAACAGGAGCCCTTTGGTAGTGCAAACAATTAATGCAGTCAGCTGCTAAGTGAAAATTTGGATATTTGAGTCCACTTAGAGGTGCTTCAGAAGAAAGCCCTGGTAATCTACTTCAGAAAATGCAGCCCTTGACAAGCCTGTCTGAAAAATTCTACTCTGACACACATGGGTTGCCATGAGCTGCAATCAACTCAATGACAACTGGTTTTTTAGAGCATAACACAATACCGTGTGAAAAATCTCTCTTGTCACATAGCACTAAAGGCTTTTCTGGTCCGAGGCCAGCCTTCAGTAGGCATTACCATTTATATCGAAGGAAGGACAGACCTGCTCAGAATGCATATACACCCCCAAGAGATCTATAGGACTCTATCAACAAGGAGATTAGTTTGAAGCCTCCCCATATACGTCCCAGCCCATGCTCCTGGTTAGTTGATTCTACGTGAAATAGTCTCCTAAGGGTCTAGGCCCAACCCTACCTGTCAGGATAGAGCTATAATGCCATAGGCACGTGAACTCCAAAAGCTTAACCTGCTATTTAAAACCCTCCATTCTAGAAGCCTGCAACTCTGGGACTTTAAAGACCCATTTTTCTTTTTTTAACTTTAAAAAAAAAATTTTAAGTACATTTTACTGAAATATAATTTATGTACAGTGAAATACACAAAACTGAAGTGACATGGGTCAATGCATTTTTTTTTGTAGTGTTCCTCCTCTCCCCTCCTACCTCTGTTAGCCAATAAAGAAAGTTTCCTTCCATATATAAACCTTTCCTTGACCTTTTACAATAATGAACTAATACTGTATTTGTCCTTCTGTGATTGACTTATTTCACTCAGCATGTCCTCCAAGTTCATCCATGTTACTCGGTGTTTGGCAGATTCTACATTATTCTTTAGTATTCCATAGTATTCCATGATGTGTATGTACCATAGTTTGGTAATCCATTCTTCTGTTGATGGGCACATAGGTTGTTTCCGTCTTTTTGCTATTGTAAATAGTGCTGCAATGAATATGGATGTGCATATATCTGTTCTTGTCCTGGCTCTCACTTCTTTAGCATATATACCTAGTAATGGGATTATTGGGGCAAATGATATTTCTAATTCCAGTTTTTTAAGGAATTACCATACTACATTCCACAGTGGTTGTATCATTTTACAGTACCACCAGGAGTGTATGAGAGTCCCAATCTCTCTATCTACATCCTCACCAGCATTTGTTATTTTCTGTCTTTTTGAGCTTCGCCATTAGTGCAGGAGTGAGATGGTATCTCATTGTTTTGATTTGCATCTCTCTGATGGCTAATGATCGTGAGCATTTCTTCATGTATTTGCAGCCTGCCTGAATATCCTCTTTGGTGAAGTGTCTATTTGTGTCTTCTGCCCATTTTTGAATTGGATTGTTAATCTTTTTGTTGTTGAAATGTTGGACTTTTCTATAAATTTTAGAGATGAGTCCCTTGTCAGATATGTTGTTGCCAAATATTTTCCCCAATCTGTAAGTTCTCTTTTTACTTTTGGAGAAGTCTTTTGAAGCACATAAAAATTTAATTTTTAGAAGGTCCCATTCATCTAGTTTCTCTTCAGCTGTTAGTGCATTTTGGGTTATGCTTGGCAGTCTATTTATGCCATATATTGTTGTTGTTGTTGTTGTTGTTGTTGTTATGTACCATCGAGCTGGACCTGATTCATAGCGACCCCTCTTTGGGTTTCCAAGGTGGTATCACTACGGAAGTAGATTGCCCAACCTTCCTTTCGAGGAGTTGCTGGTGGGTTTGAACTGCCTTCTAATCTGCAGCTTAGACTGCTTCTGGTTAGCAGTCAAGTGCTTTAGGCACCCCTAAGTTTGCCCCTGTTTTTTCTTTGAGGAACTTTATAGTTTTAGGTTGCACATTTAAGTCTTTTCTCCATCTGGGTTAGTTTTTGTGTATGGTGTGAGGTATGGATCTTGTTTTATTTTCTGCAAATGGATATCCAGTTTTGCCAGCACCATTTGTTAAAGAGACCATCTCTTCCCCATTTCAGCCCTTTGTCAAAGATCAGCTGACCATAGGTCATTGGAACTATTTATGGGTTCTCAATTCATTTCCACTGGCCTATGTGTCTGTCATTGTACCAGTGCCAAGACGTTTTGACTGCTGTGCCTGTATAGTAGGTTTTGAGACCTGGGAGTGTGAGACTTCCTACTTTTTTGTTCTTCAATAGTGCTTTGCTTATTCAAGGTAAAGACTAATTTTTCTCACCAAGCAGTTTGAAAGCAGAATTCCAAATTCATATTTCACAAGTATCTGTGTATTTCTACCATGTTCAGTAGTGGGGAAATTGTATTGAATAAGACTGACTCACTCTTTCTTCTCATAAAGTCAATCAAAAATGTCATTTCAGGACAAGGCAATAAGGTCTATAATGGAGGATTTATAGGGTACTGTGGGATCATAGAGGAGGGGCACTTAGTCTAGATTGAACCTTATCTTGTATCATACTTTGGAGGAGCATATTGATAAGCCAAAATTTGATAGCAGTGCTGTAGACTCTGTGGCTATCTAGCAATTGGTCTTTCTTGATCACATGTCCAAAGTAAGTAAATCAAAGTCTGACCATCCTCACTTTTATGGAGCAATCTTGTTGTGTTTCTTCTAACATTAATGTATTCATTCTTCTGGCAGTCCACAATATATTCAATATTCTTTGCCAACACCATAATTCAAGTGCATCGGTTCTTCATTAGACTTCTATATAGTGTGTGTGTGTGTACACACATACACATATTTTTATTTATCACAGTATAAATGTCACAGTTATTTTGTGCTTGACTCTTAATCTAAAGGTTGGCAGTTCAAATCCACCTAGCAGTACTGTGGAGGAAAAGACCTATTGATCCACTTTCATTAAGGTTACAGCCAAGAAAATCCTATGGAAGAATTCCATTCTGTAACTCATGGGGTTGGCATGAGTTGGAATCAACTTGACA